AGATTTACAGATGGGACATCTGGGCTCTAATCTCTTTGTAGGGGGTCATAAGTCACAGGTGGCCGGACAGAGCAAAAGAAATTTATTAACAAAATTATGCAGAAAGGAGAAGGCAGGCAGAAAAAAACTTATAGGTTCATCATGGCATTAGTTATGTCAAGCTCTCAGTGGTCCATTTTGAAATGGGGAAAACATGCTGGGGAGTATTAGTGTCACAGTGGTGCAAACAGTTGAGCACTCAGCTGCTAAGAGGAAGGTTGGTAGTTCGAGTCCACCCAGAGGCTACTTAGAAGAAAGGCCTGACAATCTACTTCCAAAAGATCACAGCCATTGAAAACCCTATGGAACACTGTTCTATTCTGAACACATGGGGTTGCCATGAGTCAGAATCGACTTGACAGCAACTGGTGCACTCAACCAATATATAAAGGATTTCACTCTTCTTAATGAACAGTATTCCACTGAATGTACATAGCTCAGTTCATGTAATCACTCCCCTTTATGCACTTATGTTGTTTTGTTTTTTGCTACTATAAAACCATGGCAGCAGAGACCACACTTATGTGTGCGTATTTGGTGAGAACATCTCTAGGATGAGTTCTTGGCAATGAAATTACTTAGTCAAAACAAAAAAAACAAAAACCAAACTTGTTGCCGTCGAGTCAATTCCGACTGACAGTGACCCTATAGGACAGAGTAGAAGTGCCCCATAGGGTTTCCAAGGAGCGCCTGGTAGATTCAAACTGCCAGCCTTTTGGTTAGCAGCCGTAGCTCTTACCCACTATGCCACCAGGGTTTCCTACTTGGTCAAAGGACAGGTTACTTATTTTATTTACTGAGGTAAGGGCAGATGTTTTTAATTTTGATAGCTATTGCCAACTGGCCCTCCAAAGAGGATGTACCAATTGACAACCCCACCAACAAAGGATAAAACGTTCTGTTATCCACGCACCTGCCAGTGCTGTTATTAGTAATACAATTTAGTCCTTGGCAGTTTGATAGGTGAAAATTGCTTTTCATTGCTATTCTTGTTGTATTTGTTTGATTTGATGAGGTTGAGCTCTTTTGCATACTTACTATTTGATTTTTTTTTCTTGTATGAACTACCTACCTGTTCACAGAAGTAATTTAGTGGGTCAATCTGCCAAGGTTCAAATCCTGGCTTTTCTATATACTAGCTGCTTGACCTTGGGCAATTTATTTAAATTTGTTGTGTCTATTTCCTGTCTTAAAATGGGACAATAACATGCATCTGCATCATAGAGTTATTGTGAGAACTAATGGGTTAATTGGATGCAAAGTACTCAGAACAGTGCCAGCCACATTCATGGTAAGTACTATGAAGATGGCACAGAACTGGGCAACATTTCTTTCTGTTTTACCTAAGGTTGCCATGAGTTGGAGCCAACTTCACAGCAACTAACAACAACAACAAACAATAGCTCATATTAGTCATGTTTGTTGTCCACTTTTCTGTTGGGTTGTTTGTCTTTTTTCGTATTAATTTGTATATTCAGGAAATTAGCCCACTGGCTGTCTTGTGTGTTGCTTTCTTATCCTTTACCATTTGACTTTTTTTTTTGCATTGTAATTCATACAGAAATATTGAATAGTTTTTATTATGACTACCAGTCTTTGCATTTCAAGATAATGAAAAAAAAAAAAATCCTTTTTTCCTTGACCAATCAGGGGACATGTTTTTTATGGGATAGACAATGAGTGATAGTTCTGCAAATGCAAAACCAGAAACCAAACCAGTTGCCACTGAGTTGATTCCAACTCATGGTGACCCCGTGTGTGCAGAGTAGAACAGCTCCATAGGGTTTTCAAGGCTGTGACCTTTTAGAAGCAGATCACCAGGACTGTCTTCCAAGGTGCCTCCGAGTGGGTTCGAACTGCCAACCTTTTAGCTAGTAGTTGAGTGCTTAACCAATCGCACCACCCAGGGACTCCTTTCTGTAAGTGCAGAAGGGAGCAAAAAGGAATGTCTCCCTCACCTCTCTGGGAGAGGAGAAGCAAGCTCCCCTACCAGGTCTGCAGGAGCTGTGGTGTCTGGGACAGTTCAGTGAAGCCTGGAAGGGCAGAGGGATTGGGTTGCTCATCTGTTCAGAGCTGGGCTCCAGAAGGCACAGTGGGAAGGGAGGCAGGAAGTGGGAGGACAAGTGAGGGTGGGCTTGGTGGGTGTCAGAGAATACTACAGAGATGGAAATGAGCCTTTGGGGATAGGCAAAGGGCCACTGGCGGAAGGGCTTTGTAGGATTAATTTGTCTCAAGATTCTGCCCAGAATCCCATAAAGTGGTCTCTGGGAGGCTGACAGAGGCTTGGGCTGAGGGAGGGAGATGAGTTTGGATGAACCACCAGACCATGCACTCTTGTGGGGCAGGGATTTGATTCTGGGCTCCCAGGGTTGGCAGTTTCTTGAGAACCCCTCTAGTAGGTGTTTATGCACCCTGCCTGGCACAGAGTGGGCTCCCGGTGTTGGCTTGTGAATGTCAACAGAAGGAGACTGACAAGGGCTGGAGCTGCCAGGAATGCTTCAGGGAGGGGATGGAGAGGCTGAGGGCGGACAGTGGGTAGGTGCTGGAATGGGAAATTGTTGCTCAACGGGAGGCTGAAGCCCCGGCTCATAGATCCTTTCTCTGTAATCCCTTCCTCAGCTCCCTCTACAAACCTTATACCCTTCCGGGGGTTAGGTAAGTGGAAGGCCCACGGAAGTGGCCCAGGGAGGGGAAATGACATGTCCAGGGTCACAAGGCAGGTCACTGGCAGTGCCCTGCCAAAGATTTCTCAGGCCATGTTCTAGGGGAGTAGAAGAGGGGGAGGAATTCCTGGCGTGGGTGGGGCGTAGCCTTCTCCAGAATACAGATTCTGCGGGATGACTGAAGGTGGGAGAGGGTGTGGGGGGCCAGCCAGAGGGGGTGGTGAAAAGAATGGAAAAGCAGATTGAGGAGGAGTCCTGAGAGATAAGGACAGAGTGGGTGCATTCCTCTGTGTGTGTGTGTGAATTAAACTATTGGTTTCCTTTGTCCACTTGGAGGCTGGGGGCGGAGGTGTGGGTGGCTGGAGCGGAATCTCCAAGACTGCAAATATCACAGGACCAGGAAATCTGTGTGCTCTTCAAGCTATAACTGAGAATTCAAGATTAAATCTCTCTCTCTCCCTCTCACACACACACACACACTCACAGACACAGACACACACACACAGACACACACACACAGACACACAACTCCACTATCTCCTTGGGCATTCCTCTGCCTCTGGGCTGAGCTGCCCCCAAAACAATGGTGGGGAGAAGCCTGAGAAGGGGCTGCCTGCAATATTAGCCTCACCAGAAGTCATTTCTCGTCTAACTGAAATGGCAAACCAGGAAGGGCATTCCATCCCCACCCTTATCCACCCAGTACACCCCCCAAGGGCTTGTCTGAGGTGACAACTGGCTAGCTCATTGGGGTGGGGCTAACGGTGGGCTAAAGGTGATAGGCCTGCCAGCAGTCTTTTCCAAAGGCTCCCCCCACTCCCCCACCTCCCCACCCCCACACCCTCCAGCACAGTCTGAGAACTAATGGGCCAGGCAGTGCAGTGGAGTGGGTGTGGCCTGTGTGGCTCCAGGCTGCTAGGGAGTGAGGCCAGCACTCAGCAAAGACTCTGTGCATTGTGTTCTGTTCCAGCACAGCATTTACCCCCCTCTTGGACTGGCTTTGAAACTGCTGGGAATTGTTTGGTGGTGGCTTCAGGTGGGGGCAGTCCTGTAGATAGATGAGTGACTCTTGGTGGCAAAGCTGGTGGCCCTTAATGAGGAAAATGGCAGGGGTGGGGAGGTGGGGAGGAGTGCTTGCGTGCAAATACAAGCACATACAGATACGGTCACGCAAGTAGCTACTAACTTAAAGGTTGGTGGTTTGAACCCACCCAGTGGTGTTTCAGAAGAAAGGCCTGGTGATTTGCTTCCATAAAGATTACAGCCAAGAAAACCCTATAGGGCAATTCTACACTGTAACACATGGGGTCATTATGAGTCAGAACTGATAGAAGGTAACAGCACACAGATATGCATACAAATGTGTGCAATTATATATCCACAGACCCTCCTTCCAGACACACATACACAGACTCCCACTCGTTCGAGTATGTTCACTGACATGCACACACATGCCTATGCAAAGCCCAATGACCCATAGGTGTGTATACACAGAAGTGTCACAAATACATAAAGGTGTCCCCTTCCTCTACAGGGGCAAATAAAATAAGCTGGCAGGGATCTAAGCTGGGGTGGGGAGAGGGAAGCACAGGCCCAAGGCAACCGTTCCTACTGGCTTCAGATGCCTATTGGAGTGGGCCAGAAGTCAGGTCATGCTCCACTCAGTGTGGAATGAGGTGGGGGTACGTGGCCAGGGAGACCAGCTTGGCCAAGCTCAAGCAGCCTGCCACCGAGGTCTGGCACATCCTGAGGTCAGATTATTTAAGAACTGAGCTGATCTCTGGAGGAGCTGGATGTGGAGGGCTGGCAGGGAGATGGGGGGTGCCTTTTTGGCTTTCAGCCGCTGGGGGATCTCAGCGCTGGCTCCGGGGACTGGAACTTTTTTTCCTCACCCCCATCTCTTACCCTCTGGTCTCCCTGCTCTGGGCCTCAGTAATCTGGATGTGCTTCACACCTTCCTCAAGCCTCCTTCTGGAAGCCTTCCCTGACAGCCCTTCTCAGAAGGGCTCAGTCCCCGCGCCCGCCTGCATCTGGGGGCCTCGACGTCTACGTTAGCCGCACCTCCCCTTCCTCGCTCCGGACCGCTCCTGCTAGGACAAACAGTCTAGGCCCTGGCGGGGTGGGCCGCGGAGGGCGGAAATGCGTCCCCAGGACGGATCTGTGGGGCAGCGAACGGTGGCCCGCGGCCAGCCCCGCCCCTACCTGTGTAAGCTGATCCGCCCGGTCAGCGGATAAAAGGGGCCGAGTCCCCTGGAGGTCAACGAGTTGGCGCTGCTGCTTCCCTGCCGCTCGTTCCAGCCTGGTGTGGCCGCTATGTCCGTCCAATTTAGCTCCCAGGTCTTCAGCTCGCGCTCCAACGCCTTGCCGGGCCGCGGCGCCCAGGTTCGCCTGAGCTCGGCGCGCCCCCAGGGCTTCAGCAACAGCAGCCTCTATGGTCTGAACGCCTCGCGGCCTCGCGTCACCCTGCACTCGGCCTACGGGGGCCCAGTGAGCGCCGGCATCCGCGAGGTCACCGTCAATCAGAGCCTGCTAGCCCCGCTGAGGGTGGACATCGACCCCTCCATCCAGCAGGTGCGCCAGGAGGAGCGAGAGCAGATCAAGACCCTCAATGACAAGTTCGCTTCCTTCATCGACAAGGTGAGCCCTGCACGGACCCTGCCCCAAGCCACGCTCCAGGACACACCAGCCACCCTAACCCTGCTCACACCGGCTAGGCCCTGGGAAACTTGGCCATTCCCTCTTTCTGCCAGTATCGGGAGATGCTATCTCATGCTCTGCTCCTGGCCCACTAACCCTGTCGCTGTTTTGCCCACCTCAGGATCTAAGCTCTCTCCTCCAGCAAGCTGACCCAACTGCCGCTCCCTTTCCTCCCAGAGAGAAACCCTGGTGGCGCAGTGGTTAAGCAATCAGCTGCTCTGAGAGGCTGGCTGTTTGAACCCACCGAGAACGATGTGGCAGTCTGCGGCTCTAAAGATTACAGCCTTGGAATCCCTATGGGGCAGTTCTGCTCTGCCCTACAGGGTCACTAAGAGTTGGAATTGACTGGAGGGCAATGGTTTTTCTCCCAGAATGTGAGGATGAGCTCTGTCCGGCTGCCCAGGCTGGCTGGCTGTGTCTGTGATCTGGTGGGGTTCTTGGGGCCAGTTTTGTCACCAGTTTCAGGCTGGGAGCTCCCGAGGACGGGACCCAGAGTTCTCCTTCTGGACTCATTCCCCTGAGAGGGTGCTGTGTGGAGTCAGGGATAGGGTGGGGAGTGACATGCCCTTCTTAGCTGATGAGATCCTGGCCTTCCTCAGATGCTGCCCATGCTGAAGTAGATGTTGGAAATAAAGGGCTGGAGGGAGGGAGGCTCCTGGTCTCACCCACCCCACCTTCCTGGTCCTTGAGCCTCCCTTTGGTGATAGGAGGTGAGGTTACACCTGTCCTTGGAGATAGCCCAGTTGGGAGCAGGAAAGGGGCACTGAGAGACCCTGGGGAGGGGCATTTGGGAGGTGCTTTTCCTGGCTGTTTGCTCCTTCCCCACATTGGCCCCACCTGTGGGGCAGATGACTGGTGGGTCTGGGAGGGGTGGTGACAAAGTGGGCAAAGCTAGACCCAGGAACTAAGGCCTGGCCCAGTTGGGCCCCTCTGGCTAGGGCTCCCTCCCACTGGCTTAGATCAGGCTTTGCTGCTTCTGATTTTGTGCACCTCCCTGACTTTCCCCTCCACTACCCCCACCCTGAGTGTCCTGCTCTCCTTTACCGTTTGGACTGTACGCATCCTTCAGGATCCTCCTGAAGCTGGGTCACCCAGGCCCAGGTTCCCCCTGCCATTAAGCTGCACTGTCTTACTTCTGCAGTCTCCAGGTCCTGGGCTCTCAGTAGGCTTCTCTTGCCTCCTACTCCCAGCTATGCTAGGTGCTTCTAAGGGCCTTTCTGGGCCCCAGGGCTGGCAGAGGGCGGGCCACATAGTGGGTGCTCATTTTACATTTTACACAGAGCCCAGTCCTGAGGCCTTCACGGAGGAAAGGGGAAGGAGTGAAAGGATGCAGAGGAGGGAAGAAACAAGCTCTCAGCCTGATGGGAGAAGCGGGCCTTGTCAGCCCAGGACACAAGACATGAACAGGGCAGCCCTCAGAGAGGGAGGTAGAGAAGGTCACCGTAATGCGATAAAAGCCAAAGAGGGAGAAGACTCTCAAGCACATTTTTTGAGAGCCAGGCACTGAAGGTACATTGTGAACTAGGCAGGACTTGTTCCTGGGTCACACTCTAGGACACTTGAGACAGAGAGTCCTGGAGGAGAGGGTTATTCACTGTAGGCTTCCTTGAGGAGAAGGGCAAGGGCTGGGGACTGGGGTCAGGCGAACAGCCAATAGGAACATGGGCTTTGCTGGGTGGCTGAAGACCCTCCGCAATTCAGCTGTGGGGGGTGCCGTTGGGCCCCTCATGAATTCCCACTTTGTGCCCCTTGTAGGTCCGGTTCCTGGAGCAGCAGAACAAGCTGCTGGAGACCAAGTGGGCACTGCTGCAGGAGCAGAAGTCAGCCAAGAGCAGCCACCTCCCGGGCATCTTTGAGGCCCAGATTGCTGCCCTTCGGCGGCAGCTCGAGGTGCTACAGGCAGATGGGGGTCGCTTGGAGTTGGAGCTGAGGAACACACAGGACATTGTGGAAGACTTCAAGAATAAGTAAGTAATGCCCCGCAGTGTGACCTGTGGGGTGGGGGTCCCTGCCCCTGGGCCATTGTGCCCTGCATCAGCTGACCCTTCTGCAAGTCTCTTCTGGGTCAGGGGTCAGAGGCCAGCTGCTCAATACAATAACTCCCTGAAGGAAAGGTCTTTACTAACACATTCCCTGACTTCTCCTATCCGACCTCTTTGTCCTTGAGGGTAATTTCCAAATCATTCTGGTCTTTTCTCCTGACTTAATCCCCGTGAAATATCTTAGCCCAGCCCTGAGCTTCACTGTTCCCATTGGGTACATGACCAAGACCCCAGGAGAGGATAGGGTAGAAAGTGTCCTCTGATAGAGATGTGCTTCAGAACTGGCACAACCCTCACAAATAATTCTAGAACAACTCCATATTGTTCAGGTGAGGAATTAGAGAGCAAAGAGGTTCAGAGACTTGATGGAGAGCACATAGCAAGTGAGAGGGAGAGCTAGGCTTGAATTTTGGTCTCCTGACTTCCAGGAGGTGACATGGAGCAGACTTGGAAGGAAGGAAGCAAGGAGGGAGAATGGTCATTGTGAGTGATGGGAGGGATTGCAGAGGCTGAGCCTGGGTCTTGTCATGGCAGGGACCAGAAAGGAAGCTGTGAGGAGGGGCAGGGAGTAGAGGGGCTGGAAGGCTAGGGTTTTCAAAAGAGGCCTTTGAGGCCTACTGAGCTCTTTTCTCATTGAATAGAAACCAAAGCCTGAGGCTTGGGCCCCGCCCCACCCTGGCATACCATGCTCTGCCTGGAGGTGCATGACTGAGTGGGAACAGGTACATCAACTCAGACTGGAGGAGAGCAAACAAGGCCTCTGCCAGGGGGTCCCCCGCTCCCCCTGCTCCCCTAGGGCAAAAGTCAATAGGATTAATCCCACAGCAGGTGGAACCAGACAGGTGCAGGGCAGGAAGGGCCTGGGGCAACCAGTAAGCCCCTGTTGCCAGGTACCATACTTATGCGCATGGATGGGTTCACACACACACACACACACACACACCACACACACACACACACATACTCCCCTCACCCCAAAGCCCTAAGAGGAGCTGGAAGGGGGCACAGGGAGGGGCCCTGTGTGCAGCGGCTCAGCGAATCCAACCCCACAACCTCTGGGCCTGGCAGCGCATCACAGAGGCAGTGGTAGACAGATGGCCTGGCAGATGTTTCCATTTTGTTCTGCAAAAGTGAGGGAGTGTGGCTTTGGGGGTGTGGGCATCTGTCACCCCAAGTCTGAGTCCTGGAGGGGCCCTGCTGTCTGGGCACCCTGTTCCTCATGATAGCTGGCCCAGGCTGCTCCTGCTGCTTCCTAACAGCTCTTGGGCACTGCTGAGTTCTTGCTTCTGACACCTTTTTTTGAGTCTTCAAATAAACACTGTGTTAGTCCAATGTCCTCTCTTCCTTTTCACTCTTTTGCTGAGGTCCTCCTGTGAACCAGTAGCTGGCTCTGTAGAGGAGGAGGGATGGGGGGCTGTGGGAGTAGGGGTAGGGGATAGGCCATCTAGCTGGGACCTGGTTTTCCTAGACTTCCTGATGCTCCAAGGTTCCTCCCCTTGGAGCATCAGACCTCTCACTCACCCCTCAGTAGGTATCGATAGGCAGTGAGAAGTTAAGGCATAGGCTCTGGGGTCAGACTGCCAGGGCTCAAGTCTGGGCTTTGGCACTTAGCAGCTTAGTGACATGGGCAGATCACTCTGTCTTTCTGTGCCTTGGTTCCCTTCTTTGGTAATCACATGCCATCATTGTAGGATAGCTGTGAGGATTAAATGAGTTGATGCATGGGAAGCATATAACAGTGCAGGCCCCATAGGAAGCAGCCATAAGTGTGGCTAGTATTACTTGCTGTCCTTCCCTTAGTATATGCAGCCTTTGTCCTTCGATTCACATATGTTCCCTGCCATCCTCCCCACCCCGCCTTATGCCAAGACTCAAAGCCTAGGAACAGCCAATGGAAAAGTCAGAGAAATTGGGTTTCATAGCCTGGACAACTGTTTTTTCAGGTGTTTCATTAAGAGAAGGGGTGAAGGAGATTCAGGGCAGGTTTTTACTCTGGATGTTGGGGGAATGGAGGTGAACCCACACCAACACCATGCCCCCTCCTCTACTGCAGGTACGAAGATGAAATCAACTGTCGCACAGCTGCTGAGAATGAGTTTGTGGTGCTGAAGAAGGTGAGGTCACAGACAAGCTGGGACTGAAAACACAGTGTGGCCTCTGCCCTCTCACCTGAGCAGCAGTGGGGACCTGTGGCCTCGGCTCTGCAAGAGGGGAGTGATGGGCGTGGAGAGGGTGGAGTCTGGAAGCCAGTCCCTTATGGCACAGCCTGTCCTGTGTGTGTGTGTGTGTGTGTGTGTATGTGTGTGTGTGTGTGTGTGTGTGTGTGTGTGTGTGTGTGTCTGGTGAATGACTACACCACTTGATTTTGGGCCCCCAGGGGGTGGAACTAAGACAAAAGGACGAAGGTTAGAAGGAAGATTTCAATCCCGAATTAGGAAGTGCTCTCTCTCAGTCAGGACATTCCATTACAGACAAGGTGGCACATGGCAGGCCTGAATTATTTGCTAACTGAGTGGAATGGGCTGCTTCGAGGCAGAGTGAGCTCCCATCACCGGAAATATGCAAGCCAGCTTGGAAGGCTTTAGGCCTGTTTTAGAGGGGTGTGAACTAGACGTCCTTTGGTGATCCAGACCCATCCACAGAATGTAATCTGTCCTTGGAGACTCGGCAATAAGTTAACAGTGGGCCCTCCCCTCAAGAAGTTTAACCATTGGAAAGTATAGCCAGAAGAGGCCCCAGACATCATCTCGACATGTGATGTTTAAGGTGTGATATGCGGCCCACCTGCATCAGAATCACCCACGCTGCTACGTTTAACTATTTATCTCTATTAGTGGTATCCTGGAATCTCAATAATTTTGTGCTTGCCCATTTTCCTGTTGAGAAGTTGAGGTTCACAGAGTTAAAGTGATTTGTTCAATGTCATACAGCTAGTACTAGTAGGTGGTGGAGCCAGGAGTGCGTCCAAACCATCAAAAGCTTTAGCAACTAGTCAGTGCTAAGTCTGGGGCTTCAGGTTGCCCTGGAGTACCCATGTTGAGAAGGCACCTTAGTCCTGGGGATGCACAGAGATGATGCCCATCACACAGCCTGGAGGGCCCAGTGCAGGAAACTTCTAGCTGTGGTCATGTCAGGCAGCCTGGGGAAACTGGATGTGATGGGCAGTGGTTTTTGGCCTTGTAGGTTGGACGGTACTGGCTTCCTCCCACCCTACTGAATGTTCTGTGTGCTGAGGACATAGTGACCCTCTGCCCTCTTCTCCCACCCCTTCACCCACACCTCCCAGGACGTGGATGCGGCCTACATGAACAAAGTGGAGCTGGAGGCCAAGGTGGATGCCCTTAATGACGAGATCAACTTCCTTAAGACCATCTACCAGACGGTGAGGACCTCCAGGGTGTGAGACATGTTGTGTTCCAACCATCTGGTCCAGCCCTCTGCCTCTGGGCCAGTATATGTGTGTGTGTTTTGGGGGTGTGGTATTTATCCTGCTCTTCCCTGTGTGGTACAGTTAACATGCTCAGCTGCTAACTGAAAGGTTGGAGGTTCAAGTCTACCCAGAGGCTCCTTGGAAGAAAGTCCTGTTGATTGACTCCTGAAATATTAGTCACTGAAAACTCTATGGAGCACAGTTCTACTCTGACACACGTGGGATTGTCATGAGTTGGAATTGACTCCTTGGCAACTGGTTGGTTATCTGGTTATTCTGGACTCAGGAATCCATGATGGGCTAGAGTGTCAGGAGGAGCTTGGGGTAGCAGAGCAGGGTGGGTCAGTCAGGATTGGCCTTCCAGAGACATGGGATGACCAAAGCAGCATTTGTCAGGAAAGGGGATTGGAAGGGGCTGAAAGGAACCAGAGGAGGTCAGAGGACCCCAGGCTGTGACAGGGTTCAAAGGTGGTCTGGGTGGGGTGGGGAGGGGGACCAAGTCAGGAGAGAGACTGGAGTGACTGAGAGTTTGCACCAGAGGGACTGGATGGGTGGCCACCCACCAGCCAAAGCACTCTCTCTGTCCTCCCCTTGTATCCTGTTATCTTCCTCCCACCCTCACCCTGCCCTGGGCTTCCAGATCCTTTCCCCTCTCAGAGTTTTAAAACCTCTCCTTTCTCCTCAGTGTGAGTCCCTGGCTTTAGGCTGAAGATAGGGTGGCAGGAGCTGGTGGGACATAATTAGCATATGAGGCTAGTTACAGACCAGTCCTCGGTTCTCCTCAGTCTTATCTTTTGTCTGAACTACAGCCTCCATCAGTCCCTCAGTGAATTTCCACATGTGTATTCATTTCAGGGGCTGGATCCTTGATGCTTATTTGTGACACTTCTAATCTCAGTGCAGGGTCTTTGTATGTTTATCATGTATTATATATACATATATAAGCTTATATTATATAAGCATGTTTTATATTTATGGGAATATTGTGTATATAATTATTTTCTTCTTATTATGAAAGCAATACATAATCATTGCAAAAAATCTAGAAAATTAAGTAAGGCATAAATTTGAAAACATCACCTATACCCAATGTTAATATTTTGTTATCTATCTTTCCAGACATTTTCTGTGCATGTATGTACATACATATGTAGATATATATATATTTAATAAAAATAGAATCATACTTTTTTTTGTGTAACAGTATACCATGACCATATTTCTCTGATAGTCAGTACAGCCATATGATCATTTTCAGAGGCTGTAGAGTGCCCCATTATAGGATGGAATATAATTTATTTCACCCATCCCACTGACCCCTTCACAATAGAGGGCACACGCCACAGCATCTCACAGCTGGTAGCCATTGCACTTCACCATGCCCTGTCACTTTCTTTATCCCCTTGAACCCTACCCAACTCATGCCCACTCCAGTGTCTCTTTTCTTTTTCTTTCTTCTTCCTTTGCTTGTGGGAAATCCCAGAGGAGGGGTGGGAACCAGGATGGGTCACACCCCAGGTCCCAATATTCTGTCCGGTCCCTACAGGAATTGACAGAGCTGCAGGCCCAGATCTCGGACACATCTGTGGTGCTGTCCATGAACAACAGCCGCTCCCTGGACCTGGACAGCATCATGGCTGAGGTCAAGGCCCAGTACGAGGAGATGGCCAACCGCAGCCGGGCTGAGGCCGAGGCTTCCTACCAGACTAAGGTGTGAGACCACTGAGGTGTGTCTTTCTCCTCCTGGCAGGGCCCTCAGTGACAGCGTCCTCACCTTATCCTTACCTTGTCTCAAGCCCCTTAGGGCCTGGGGTCCCCCTGTTCTGGCAGGCACCAGTGGCTAAGTCTGTGGTGCTCTCTTGTGCCCTGGGAAGAAGAGGATGAGAAGGCCAGGTCCCTACCCTGAGGGAGGGACAGGGCAGAGGAAATAGATGTGGATTAATGATTGTTGTAGCTAAAATTTGACAAGTACTTACACAATGCTAGGCAATGTTTCCAATGTTTTAATGCATTAACTCATTTAATCCATAGGACAGCCCTTTTTGGTAGGTACTATTATTATCCCTATTTTACAGATGAAGAAACTGAGGCACAGAGAGGCTAAGTAATTTGCTTAACTCCACATAGCTAGTAGATAGATGAGCAGAGACTAGATGCTGGGTCCTTGGGCTCCACAACTGGGAGATTTAATCATCACACATACTGCGTGGAGGCAGATCGCTGACTGTGCAGGTGCTGAGGGAATGCACAGGTGGCATGGTGGTAGACCCAGGAAGTGTTCGTGGAGGAGGGGATCCTGAGGCAGGGTTAAAAGCAGTGTAGTGGGAAGTCTCTGCAGAGAGGCCAGGGAATCATCCATGTGCACAGGTGAGAACACAGGAATGCCAATAAGGAGACTTAGGCTAAGGCCCTAATTCTGCAATTGATTTACTGTGTCACTCTGGGACGGTGCCTTCTCTTTTCTGGGCCTCACTCTCCTCATCTGTGAGATGGGTAGTTCTGGTGAGGGCATCATTTAACAGGTGAGGATCTCAGACTTTCAGTGATTCTCTAGCACTAGGGCATGACGGGAGTGGGAAGAGCCCCAGGATCAGTGGGGATGGGTCCTGGGAAGCCTTCTCTGCACCCCCTGCCCTGGCTGGGAGGAGAATGAGCCCCTTCCCCACTCCACTGCCCAGTAGTCTGGCATCCTGGATTTGGGTGAAGGTTGCTTAGAGTCTGAGGGTCTCTCCCTGGAAATATAAGCCAGAAGTCCTGTCACTCAGAACAAGGCCTTCCTTGGATGGGCAGAGGGACGAGTCACTTGTAATCATTGCCCACCCCTGCCATACTTCTCTGCATGGCCCCTCTAGTTGGAGACCCTCCAGGCCCAGGCTGGGAAACATGGGGATGACCTCCGGAACACCAGAAACGAGATTGCAGACATGAACCGAGCCATCCAGAGGCTGCAGGCCGAGATTGACAACATCAAGAACCAGGTGGGGACATACTGTTCTCCTTGCTCCTCCCTACTTCTTGGGACCTGTGCAGGGCAGCCAGCTGAGGCCAAGCTCAGGACTGAGGAGCAGGAGGCTGGGGCTGAGGGGGTCACGCCTGCCCCTCCCTGGGCCCTGGCGGGTGCAGCTTGAATGTCTCAGGCCCGCTTGTGAGAGCTTGACAGGAGGGGAGGAATGTGTCCTGTGGTATGAGCAGAATGTTCCCCAGCCAGCCCTTTGTCCCCCATTAGGAGGAGGGGAGTCCTGGCTGGGCAGAGAGGCTATGCAGGAGCCTCTCGCTGGCTGGCCAGAGAACAATCACTATTAGTTATCAAGTTGGTGCTGAGCACTTTTCTCGCATGTAGCTCTGGGTATAAGATGCCATACCTGGGAGCTCACAGTGTTGGGGCAGAGGGAGAGACAAACGCCAGCAAATATCCTTACGGTGGCTCACAGGCTGCCACCCACCTCCTGGCCTGACTTCCCACCATTCCTCTCACTTAAGATAGTCTGGCCACACAGGTCTGCTTCCTGTATCTTGCATTTGCCAAGCGTGTTAATGCTTCAGGGCCTTTGGACTTGGTATTCCTTTCATTCTCCCTGTTGTGTGGTTCTCCCAGCTCTTGACGTGGCCGCCCCTTCCTCTTCTCTGGGCTGTAGGACAAAAGACCCCTTCTCAGAGATGGCTTCCATAACCACCCAGCCACTATCTCAGCAGCCTGTCTGAAGTCCTTTGAAGCACTTTTCACTGTGTGAACATATCTGTCTTATGAATGAAGTCATTGATGCCCTGAGAGCGGGAACCCTGTCTGTCCTGCTCATGGCTCCTCTCTTCCAGTACCTGCCAAACGGTCGGGGCACAGGTCCTGGATGAGAAACCAACTAGAAGGATGCACTTTGCTGGAAGTTGGGGTGGGGGTGTTGATAGGGAAGTGTCCTCCAAATTCTGGCTGAGGCATGGGTGTGAAAGGGGTAGCTAAGCCTGGGAAGGTGGCATGTGCAGCAGCATCACAAAGCTAGGGGAATGGATGTGGGGTGATTTTCAGAGCCATCTTCCCCTGAGAGCCCTGAAGGCCTGTTTACAGGAGGGCAGAGGCTGCCTCCTGGCACAGATGCAAGGCCATGAGTCACCCTGCGGAGTAGGCCTGCCTCCAGGCTGGGAGGGAAGGACTGAATAGTGAATGGCCTTGGAGCTCTTCCAGCTGGGGTCTGGGGTTGGGGTGGGCATTTGTAACTCATAATAAATAGCATTTATTAAGCACTTACTGTGTGCCAGGCACTGTGCCAGGGACTTCATGTATATATTATCTTATTTAATCCTTGCAATATCCCTATGAGGTAGATGCTCTCATAATTACTATCTTAGAAGAGAGGAGATTTTGGCTGAGAAGGGTTGACTCATCTGAGGTCACATAACTATTATGTGGCTAGGCCAGAATTGGAACCCATCAGGCATCAAAACCTATGTTTTTAACCCTCGAGGTTCCCTAGTGCTTGGGGAAGTAGGCTGGTGCCGGGGAAGCCACCTAAAGCACGTTGCCCAGGTGCTTGCTGCAGGATGGGAGGCAGGAAGCACTGGCTGGTGAGCCCTGCTCCCCAGCTCACAGCTCCACTACTGTCCACAGCGTGCCAAGTTGGAGGCCGCCATTGCTGAGGCTGAGGAGAATGGGGAACTGGCGCTGAAGGATGCACGCACCAAGCAGGAGGAGCTGGAGGCCGCCCTGCAGCAGGCCAAGCAGGACATGGTACGGCAGCTGCGCGAGTACCAGGAGCTGATGAATGTCAAGCTGGCCCTGGACATTGAGATCGCCACCTACCGCAAGCTGCTGGAGGGCGAGGAGAGCCGGTGAGGACAGGGAAGCTGTAATGGGGCTCCTTCTGGGGCTTGGTAGAGCCTGGGGCTTGACATTCATCCATCAACAGGCATTTTCTGTGTACTCCTTCTGAAGGGCACTGGGAGTGACAGGTGCGGGAGGGCAGAGCTGATGCTTCTTTGCCCCCAGTGAGATGACCTTCTAGAAGGGCAGACCACGTGGGTAGAGCTTAGTGGGTAAGTTGAAGTAGCAACAGTCCCTTCTTGTGTGTGGCCATTAGCAGGGTCATCTTATTTGATCCTCAGAATACATTCAGGTAAGCAGATCAGGTATTATTGATTTTCCAATGGACAGAGGGGAGAACTGTGGTTCGGGATATTAATTAAGAGTGCAGTCAAGGTCTGCTTATTCTTGGTCCAAACATCCGCAGCGACACCAGGCTGCTTTTCGCTACTTGTAAGTGCTAAACCATGTGGTAGTGACTGAAGGAGATGGAGGAGGTTGATCTCCCCCTGACCCGGGATGTTTGCACATTCACCTGAAGCTAGAGAGGAGGCTGGGTAGGTTAGTCTGATAGGGAATTCTTCACAAAAGACATGGCACGTACTTTGGGTCTTTATTATCACATTGACGGACTGGGTGATTCATTCAGTCAACAGACAAAGCTTTCAAGTTGCTCTTTGGGAGATGGTTGGGATTGGGGAGGGTTGGGATTTGGAGAGGATGAGTGGGAACAGTGTGGGCAAAGGCTTGGAAGTAGGACGGTCAAGGCTTGGCTTGTTGAAACCCAGTGTGGAGATAGATAACATGGAACATAAGCTTCTGCCCCCAGAGAACTTGCAGAGCAGTTGAGGAGAAAAACCTCTGTACAGGAAACACCCGAGACCACTAACTCGCATTTGTAAAATGCTGAGTGCACAAAGAACATTTTAGTTTCTGAGCATCATTCCTGAAGGGTGGAGGAGAGAGGATGGAGGAGGGGTAGAGTGGAGGGGAAGGAATTGGGGAAAGAGGGAGCCTGGGGGCAGGGTACACAGATGCTGGGAGGAGGGATAGAAGAAACCTGGCAGCACGTGGAGCCCACGGCAGCAGGATGAAAGTGGGGGAAGGAGAGGTGGGAAGAGGAAGGGTCTCTGCCACTGCAGCTGAGCTGAGGGTGCAGGGCAGCCTCAGAGCCTACCCAGCAGTCCCACCATGGGTGCAGGGCCCCCACTTTCTCTGGGCCTCTTTTCCTCATAGTAGTCAGAGCTGGGGGACCCTTAGAGTGGGACCTGGTCCACCTTCCCTCCAAGGGCAGCTGAGGGACTGAAGCTCCGAGAGAGAAAGTGACACACAGCAAGCAGAGACATCCTTTTCTGAAAGCCTATTTTCAGTCCAGGTGGCTGTCATCAGGGCTTGTTTTCTGGTTCTCTGAGAGGAGACCCTTCCCTTCCCATCCTCTTGGGAACATAGAGATGGATAACCGCTCAGCCTTCCCCAGGGGCAGATCCAAGGTTTCTGGACCTGAAGTTCATACAATTTGGGTAGCCTTCTTTAAGAATACAAAATTACAAATGTCAAATTAGGCAAAAAATAAATATTTATTTACAATTAGAAAAGTGACACAAATCACTAGAGCCTTGGACATTGAAGTCCCTTCCTTGTGAGATCTCTGTAAGCATTGTACCAGAAACTTTCACGTGCAATACCTGATAGCAACCTGGCTCCCCCTCCCCACCCACAACTGCCAGCACTTGCTGGGGCTATTTGGACAAGGGGCCTGGGAGCTTCCCAGCATACCCATCTCTTTCCCTTGGCCTTTGCTCAGCCTCTTTCCTAGGCTCTGGGCTGCTGAGGTCATTCCCTCCACCTAAGTGAGCCCCAACTCTGCAGACAAACTGATCCCCAAGGCCAAGGGCTTGGTGACAGTGAAGCAGTGAGTCATGAAACATACACACCCAGCTGTCTCAGATGGATTTTTAATTTTCCTCTCAAGACCTGTTTCAGCCCTACAGGCTGCTTAAAGCTACCCCACATACCTACCCTCTCCCTCTTCAGGCCTAGCTAGAGCTGAATTCAATCAGTCAACAATTCACTAATTATTTCAACACATATGAAGTAATAACTATGTGCCAGGCCTCGTGCTAGGAGCTAGGGGAGATACAGGAATCAATAAGCTACAGAAGACTTCTAGGATTTTATGATCTGGTTAGGGAGGGTAGCCTTCTACATAAATACCAATATAGGCAGCTACCATTTACAGAATCCTGTGTGCCCTGGTGGTGCAGTGGTTAAGTGTTTGGCTGCTAACCAAAAGGTTGGCAGTTTGAATCTACCAGCTGCTCCTTAGAAACCCTGTGGTGCAATTCTGCTCTGTCCTATAGGGTCGCTATGAATCAGAATCCGCTTGATGGCAACGGGTTTGTTTTGGTTTTGGCGTGCCCAGGGCTTTAGGTGAATTATGTTATTTAACCCTCACAAACAACCCTCTGAGGCTGGTACTATAGTAAGGCTCAACTTACAGGTGAGGTGAGGGAGGCTCTGAGATGTTGCCCAAGGTCACACAGCCAGTAGACAGAAGGGCCGAAGTGGACCTGCCCTCCCCTCCACTCCTCCAGGCTTGTTTTGGAACAAGGCCAAAGGAAGGCAGGAAGTGGGGCACAGAGAGGAAAGAATGAAGGTCCCACTTGGGGCCTGGAAGGAGGGCGACTAAGAGTACTTCCCTACAGCACTGAGGAAAGAGGTGCTCTCATGGGTCTCTCTTCTGCCCCCAGGTTGGCCGGTGATGGAGTGGGAGCCGTGAACATCTGTAAGTCCTTGGCCATGGCATAGGGGAAGCATGCCCTGTGCAGTCCAGGGTAGCCTGGGTCTATAGAATGGCAGGCAGATTGGCCCGAGGGTCCTGCCTCATAGGCAACCTCCCAAACCTCCTCCCCTTCACCAGCTTCTGGGGGGTCCCATGGAGCTGACATCCAGCCTGGCTCAATCTCCCAGGGCACCAGGTGCAAGAGGGCCAGGTGGGGTGGAGCACACCTGTGGAGCAGCCCCTACTGCTGTCAGAGGCTCATTTTGGGTTGGCTGATGGAGGGAGGTGGGAGAAGAGGCCGGGATGACAGGTAGGGGCAGCTTCAGCAGAAAGGTGGGAGTGGTGAGGGATGCGGTCCCTGGTGGTGGGCCTCTCTGACAGCCCTCCTCCCTTCTCTCCCAGCGGTGGTGAATTCTGTTGGCGGCAGTGGTGGTGGCGGTGGGCTGACCTTTGGGGGAACTATGGGCACCAATGCCCTGAGCTTCTCCAGCAGTGGAAGGCCTAGGACCCTCAGGGTCTTTTCCCAGGAGACCACCCACAGGAGTTCCCACAACTAAGCCTCGGGGTGGGGAGTCCCCTGTTCACCCTCCCTCCATAGTCACAGCAGGACTCCCATTCTTGCCTTCCATCCCTGGTATCAAGACTGCAAGGCTGTCTGTAGAAATGATGTCAGAATCGCTTCCAATAAAGCAGCCTCTTTCTGGGGCCTGGGTGAACGCTGTGCCTGGTGCCTGGTGTCCTGGTTCATTAGGGAAGGGCAGAGGAACCAGAGTGGGGAGGGCTCTGCCTTGATGACTGGGGAGCCTCTTGTGCAGGAGGCTGGGAAAGCACATTGGTGACATGTGGGCAGGGGGTGTTGCACTAAGGGACTGGGCTCTTACCCAGTGTGAGCCCTTGGCCTCCTCCCAGGACTGGGACCAATTCCAACACCTTTCCGGACAAAGCCCAGAAATGCCACAAGGAAATTCTGGCTGTAGTAGAAAGTGGGTGCCAGAGTCCTCTCCTGCTAAGGGGTAGAAGGGCTGTTTGGACACTAGCCCCCCTCCCTGCCCTGTGTTGACAGAGTACATTCCTTAGGGGGTGAGAAGGCCACAAACACTCAGTTGTCCCAGGCTTGGGTTTCGGGTGGATAAGCCAACTCTCAGTCCAGCCACCCTCAGCCCTTCCTGGTGCTGACTTGGCCAGAGCTTAGGGGCAGGCTAGGCCCTGGGCTCCTGGACGGTGTGAGTGTTTTGGTCCCTGGAGGTTCTGTGGGGGTGAGGGTGGGGGAAGAGGTCTGTATGGGAGGAGGGAAGGGTGAGGGGTCCCAGAGTTTAGATTCCTGGTAGGGGGCTGTGTGCCTGGATTCTTGGGCAGAAGGATAAGCTGTGGATCTGGATCCCTGGAATGGGGCACCTGTGGGTTAAGTCTGTGCATGATGGGGGTATCCGTGTGTCAGGGTCCCTGATGTGGGGTCTATGTGGGAGTATGTGGGGTGTTTTTGTGTCAGGGTCTGTGCTTGGGGACCTCCACCCCTGATGGGAAGTAGCACATATGATGGGTGCCAGGGGAGGAAGTACAGGAGGTCTTCGGGTCTGGGACCCCCGGCGGGGGGGTGGCATGTGTGGGTTGTCTAGGTGAGTTGGTTTGGGGGGGCATGCTCTGTATGTTTGAGGGCATGGCCAGGGAATTTCATGTACTGAGGTTGGGGGTGAGGTAGAGGAAGTGACCAGTATCCCAGCAGTGGCAAGTGATGAGGTCCCCACTAGGGTGTCAGGAGATCAGAACCCTCCCCCTCCTGGCTACAGGCTCCTCAGCGTTGCCATTCTCAGTTGCCTTCCAGCTCACACCCTCCTGGCTCTGCGTATCTGGGTTTGGGGGCTGCAGCCTACCAGAGTTCTAGCAGCAACCCCCGCCCCCGAAAAAAAACACACACACTTAAGGATGCATATGTGCACCAAAGGAGCAGGGCGCCACAGAGACACCCTTTCTCCCTGTCGAATGACTCCTCTGTTGGCTTCCCAGAGGCAAAAACGGCTAGATGGAGCGTGTGTAGGACAGAGCGCATTATATGAACAGAGCTTTATTGGAAGTGAGGAGACTAAGCAAAAACGGGGAGCGGGAGGGAGCGAGCACGTTCAAACCCCAGGGGTCCTGGGGCGGCCCTCGTCTGGATTGGCCCTTAGCCCAAGGCTGCGAGGAAACCTGTCATTTAGACACGTGGCGATAGACGGGGAGCTGCCAGGCATGCGGGCAAGGAGCCCGGCTTTCCCTGGAAGAAATGAGAGGAAGCCGTGGGTAGAGAGATGCAAGAAGGTGCGCTGAGCAGTTTGGGAAGGTCAAGCCTACTGCTTCCCAAAGCCCTTCGGCTTCTGGGCTCCGGGACCCATCGCTGGAAACGGGGACGTCGTCACTCGTCACTCGAAGGAGCCATGTATTTACAAAGCCGGGAGCACTACGCAAACCGCATGGAGCCGCAGCTCTGTCCGCAGGGGGCACCCATTCTGGTGCTCACTGCCAGGTTCCCGCTGCAGGCGGCGCTGCAGACACTGCCCGTCACTGGCTGGGAGCCGGATGCGCAGAGGTCTCCGCAGACAACCCCGCCCCGGGAGCTGCTGACACCTGAGGGAGGAGGATAGGGTTAGTTCCGAAGCAATTTCGTTCCAGCAGCCCCTACCTGATATCCAGAGTCCCCTCCTCTTGCCCAGAGCCCCTCTCCTCCATTTCTGTTTCTCCTTGAACACCCTCACACCTGCGCACTCCTTGCAGTCTTATAAACTGTTAGCCCAGGCCCTTATTATAGGCAGAAATAACTATTTAAATCACCAAGTGACTATTCATTGCCCACACCATCCTCCTTTCAAGATGGCAAATTACAGCAGAGGGCCAGCCTCCTGTATTTGTAAATAAAGTTTTATTGGAACACAGTCACACTCATTCATTTAAATACTGTTATGGCGGTGGCTATTTTCACACTAGGAAAAGGCAGAGTTGAGTAGCTGAGACAAAGACTGCATGGCCCGCAAACCTAAAGTATTTACTCTCTGGTTCTTTAGGAAAAAGTTTGTTGATCCTTCTCCCCTCAAGCCCAAGCCCTCATTTCAGAAAACAGCAGTAGAGATTACTTACAGACATTTACAGCACCAATGCCCTCACACAACCTTGTGGGGACAGAAAAGAGACCATAATTAGTAGGAGGGAACAAAACTGATGAAATCTGGGGTTAACCCGCAAATTTCCTCCCCCAAGGAATTTTGATGCAAATGAAATGTAAATAATATGTAAATATGCTTCTGGCTCTTTAAACTCTGAAACACAGTTTAGGGGAGATTGAAGAGACACCTTCCCTACAGGTGTGGGCCCCACCTGTGCTCCTCGCCCTCCAGCAGGCGCCTATAGGTGGCGATCTCGATGTCCAGGCCCAGCTTGGAGTTCATCACCTCCTGGTACTCCTTGAGCAGGCAGGCCATGTCCTGCTTGGCCTTCTGCAGGGCCTCCTCCAGCCCGGCCAGCTTGCAGCGGGCATCGTTGAGGGCCGCCTCACCCTGCTGCTCAGCCTGGCTCACTGCAGCCTCCAGCTTGGAATTCTAGGAGGTAGGGGGCCGTGGGGTTATTAAGACTCCCTGTTCTGGAATTCCGGGTCAGAGGCCTGACCACTGGCTGTCAGAGGAAGGAGGGCCCTTACCCATTTGTTAGATCAGGGGCTGCAAATTAGTTTCCCCAGGGAATGTTGGCACAATGTCTTCAATTTGAGGGAAATTTAACGTAAAAATCCAGATTCCCGGTTTCTCTTGAAAAATCGGAGGATCTGGCCACACTGCGCCTGCATTTCTGCAGGGCCTGGCCCGGTTGGATTTGATTAGCTCTACCCTTTAGATGGCTATGTGCTTTCCAGTTTGCCGCTGTCCCCACATACCCCAGTATGTGTATGGCCTGCTTCACTCATTTATTAACCTTTGTTGACATCAGAGTGTGTGATCACTGACTTAGAACCACAAGCCAAACCAAAAAAAAAAAAAAACTGTTGCCGTTGAGTCGGTTCCGACTTATACTGACCCTATAGGGCAGAGCAGAACTGCCCCATAGGGTTTCCAAGGAGCGGCCGGTGGATTCAAACTGCCGACCTTTTGGTTAGCAGCCAAACACTTAACCACTTGTGCCACGAGAGCTCCGAACCATAGGCCAGAGAGGTTAAATGTCTTGTTCCAAATCACATGGCAAGCTGGTGCCAGGGCCCAGGTTTCCTGCCCCTCAGGCTGGTGCTGCTTCCTCTGTCCCATTTTGCCCCTGGGACCGGGAAAGTCTGTATCTCCTCATCCTCCTCTATACTGCCCCCCCACTTCAGTGGAAACGGAGCCCATTTTCCCTGGAGGAGACGTGCCTGATGTTTGATGTTTGCTCCTCTTTCCTGCACGTTGGCAAGGGGAATCCTAAATCTAACGTAAACCCTTCTGCTGCAGCTAACCCCACTCTCTCCCTGCACTGAGGGGCAGATCATGCAGTACCTGGCACTTGGCATTCTCCACCTCGGCCGTCAGCCTCTGGATCACGCGGTTCAGCTCGTTGATCTCCTCCTTGGTGCGGCGCAGGGTCTCCCCGTGCCGGATCACCGTGGCCTTCATCTCCTCGCACTGCAGGAAAGCAGGGATGCTCATCAGGAAACCAGGAATGATTGTGCAGGTTGTACAGTGCTCAGCTTGCTTACCCACACATGGCAGTCCTGCCTGTGCCACCCCAATGAGAGCTGTCTGCACTACCCTGACACATCCCTGGGGAAGGACCCTCCACAGTTGTTGTCAGCATCAGAATCCCCAGACAAAAGAAGCCTTTTCTAATATATACCTTGCACCCTCCCACTGCTATGTCTCGGAGGCGGGTGTCCTGTGTCACTCACCTTGCTGCGGTACCAGGACTCAGCCTCAGCCCGGCTGCGGCTGGCAATGTCATCATACTGAGCCTTGATCTCAGCGATGATGCTGTCCATGTTCAGGTCCCGGCTGTTGTCCATCTTCACCACGACTGAGGTGTCTGAGATGTGAGAGTGGAGGATGTGGATCTCCTGTGGGGGTGGGAAAGTGGTGAGAGTGTCTTAGACCTGAGCTCCCTCTCGTAGCCCACCCTCTCACAGCCCTTCCCTCTCCCCTTCTCCTGCTTCCTCAGAAGGCCCACCTCCATGTTCCAGCCTTGCCCCTCAACCCTGGGACCTCTCAGTGCTCCTCAGGCCTACAGTCCCAAGGCTGAGAGGAGGAGGAGGTAGAGAGGGCCCATGTCTGAGGCCCACAGCCTGAGTTCAGTCAAGGCCTCCTGCCTTAATCCTCTGGGTCTAGGACCAGAGTTCACCTCTTCATGATAACTGTCACCACAGTGGCCATGAACATCAGCTTGTCTGGGGCACAGTAGATCAGACATCAGGATTCACTTATCTTCACCTCTCCACAGTAAACCTACCTCCCTACCACTCGGTTTTTCATTAAAGCCCCAGGGCAAGGGTCTCTCAACTCTGGTCTGGCCCTGGACCACCTGTCCCCACTTCCAGGGCTTCAGTGGCAACTCCTTTCCAATGTCTAACATCCTCCTTACTGCCCCACTGTTCTGTGGCCCCTCACCTCCTCATACAGTTGCCGCAGGAAGTCGATCTCCTGGGTCAGGGCCTCCACGTTGGCCTCCAGGTCTGACTTACGGAGGTAGGCACAGTCCACATCCTAAAAGAGGGAAGGTGGCACAGGGGTCTTGCTGGGGAGATAACACAGAGCTCTCATTTTCTTCCCATCAGGGAGGGGCACTCCATCAGGCTGAGCAGACTCCCCCAAACCCTCCTTATATGCTCATCCCAGTGCCTGGCATCATGGGGCTGGCAAAGTCCTTCATGCAGTTAGCAGGGTCAGGAGCAGGGATGGGTAAGGGAGGGGGAGCCTGAGGTCCCCAGGCACTTCCTCTGATACCCACTGGGATGAGTCCTCCAGAATCCACTTCTTATTACTGTCACCAAGACTAGTATAAAATGGGTCAATTTAAGCAATGTCTCCCCATCTCTGGTCCTGGGACTGAAATTTCATGGGAAGAATTGGGAATCTGTGGTCAAAAGTGGGTTCAGGGCTCAACTCTGCCCTTTCCAAACCAGTGTGACTCAGGGCAAGACCCTTAACCTCTGTGCCTCAGTTTCCTCACAATAATCCCTGCCTTCTTCATACTGAAGTGGTTGGAAGGGTCCAGTGAGAGGCCATGAGATGGTACTTTGTAAAGAGTCAAGTCTAAGAGGTGAGGAATAACTGTTACTGCTCATGACAGCATTTCCCAGCTGTCAGTCGCCTGAAAATGTGGCCATCCCTGCCATTCATGTGCCAATATTTACTGAGTGCCCACTCTGTGCCAGGCACAGGGCAGAAGGAGGTGGGAAGCCAGTGGCCAGACGGGAGTAAGCACAAAGGTAGGGAGACTATTGTTCCGTGTGAAGCAGGCAGTGTGCGCTGATGTCTGGGCTACCCAGGGAACACTGGGGCATTTGGAGAAAGGAATAGGGCTGTGATTCTGGGTGAGTCACTCAGCCTCTCTGAATCACAGGAGAGTGTCTCCTGCCTCTGCCCTCGGCTCTGAGTTGTGGGACGAGTGTTCTGGGGTCACTTACCTTCTTCAGGGCCACAAATTGATTCTCAGCGGTGGCCCTTAGTGCCACTTCCTCTTCATACCTGAGGACAAAGGGGACAAGGCTCAGTGGCTAGAACTTCAAGAGGCTGGGATTTGGGGAGGGAAAAAAAAAGAGAGAGAGAGAGAAAAGGCCTAGACAAACAGGTTCTAGGACTTAGGTCTTTTGGAGGTGGTCACAGAATCAAAAATTGTTTGCCCAGAAAGGACCTGTCCATCCCTTTCCTCTGGACACTCAAATCAACTCATGTTACCCAGTGCTCTTCCTGTTTCAAGGACTCTTATTCCTGATGTGGGTCAGGTGGTACCTTGCACATTTGCGGAAACCTCATCTCTGCTTCTGGACTGTAACTCCCTGGGGGTCAGGAACCCTGCCCTGGCTCTGGAACACTCCCCTTCCTCTCCTCCTTACATTCTTCCCCCTACTCCACCTGGCACGTGGTACATCCTCAGTAAAAATCTGATGAATTAATGAAATAAACCCATCATGATGAAAAGCAGCTAGAGCAGCTCAGAATCTCTCCAGTGTTTAAACTCTCAGCCTAGAGAAGAAAAATTTCCCCACAGGCTTCCTGTCACCCTCTTCTTCCTGTTAGGAAGTTCCTCTTGTGGTCTAATCCAAATCCATCCTGCTTTGACTTAATCCCTTTTCCTTTCTTTAAACTCTACTCCTTGACTCTGAGGACAGATGTGAAAGAAGAACCACTGTCTGCCTGCACTCACTTCTTCTTGTAGCCCTCCAGCACCTCCTGCACATGGCTGAGCTCAGAGGCCAGTCTCCCGCTGTCGGCCTCCACGCACTCAGCCTCCCGCCTCAGCGTCTCGATGTAGCCATTGAACAGAGGCTCCAGGTTGCTCTCACAGCACTTGCGGTTCTGGTAGAACTGCCACTTGGTCTCCAGCAGCTTGTTCTGCTGCTCCAGGAAGCGCACCTGGTGTGGAAGTGTGGAAAAGTCGGTGGGAGGAGCCAGGATCCCCAGCCCTCCTTACAGAGCAGGCAGTTAAGCCAGAACTAGCACTGAGATGTGCAGAGGCAAGGGTGGTTGCCATGGCCCCTGCTGGGCTCTCCTGGCCTGAGGCTGTGCCAGGAGAATCCTTGTTCCATGACTGCTTCTTCAGGCCCAAGTGAGGGTCTGTCCAGGTGCCTGTGGGTGGGAATAATAAGTGAGAAACTGAAGGGCAAAAGGGCTGTGATGGGTTACAGTGGGGCTGGGGGAACAGGTAGGCACTGGGGTAGTGCCAATCAGGGAGGGCTTCCTGGAGGTAAGGAAGGTAGAGCAGGGTTGGGAGGGACAGAGCAGGATGAAACCCTTGCATTATGAGCTTCCCTGGGGCAGGGCCTGTGGCTTACTGATCTGTCTTCGGTGGCCAGCCCAGGGCTTGGTGAGCAGTTGACTGAATGGATGGTCAAGGTGGGAAGGGTTTCCTAGGTGGCGGAGATCAGAGGGCAGCTCTCACCAGGCAGGATGGGGGGAGGTGGGGTGCGGTGCTAGGTGGCCTAAACTCACATGTGCAGTTCAGAGGTTGGACACTTCTATGTCTCTGGAGGCTAGGCAGGTAATGTAATGGGTGAAGGTGTTGGAAAATAGAGATGGTGAAGACTCTGGGGAAGTGGGGCATGCAAGCAGTTACTAAATGTCATTCATACTGGAGAGACAGCAATGGTAACAGTACCTTTGTGTTGGTCAGAGAGGATGTCAATGAGACTGGGCTCGCTGGCCTCCAGTTTTCCAATTCTCATTCATTTTAGTTGGAGTTGAGATGTTACCCTGCCTTTTAGCCCTGGACTCTTTCATCTAACTCCATGAGTGCAGCTGGTCCTTCCAGAAATGGGGAACTGGGACTGCTGATGTTTTATCTGACAATTTTAGATAGTCTTAGTTGACAGGGCTTGAGCTGAGGTAGGGGTCTCATGGCTGCCTCAGCCCCCAACTCACCTTTCAAAGCCATGGCCAGCTCACACACTGTGCCACACGAACCCCTGTGGCAGACAAGCCCTGGTGAGGAGAACAGTGGGGACCGTGCCTGGCATCACACAGCAAAAGAGGAGCTGAGTGTGGAGTCCAGACCCCCTGCACCTGAGTCAGGACCCTTTCTACACTCCACTCTCTTGCCATCTTTCCTGGGTGAGAGCATCAACACACTTGGGCAGAGTGCCTATTGAGGTGGACCCGTCCCATATGGGGGGATGAAGGGTAGCTGGGGCCGCAAACTTTAGACCCTCTGGCCCCAAGGGCCTGGAGAGCTGGAAAGAGCGTAGGTTTGGAGTCCTACTCTGCCCACCCCCCCACCTCTGTTGGCCATTGGGCAGGCTCTTCCGCCCTCATTTCTGTTCTCTGTACACTCTCAGGACTGCACTGGCACCAAACCCATTGCCGTCAAGTCAACTCCGACTCATAGCGACCCTATAGGACAAAATAGAATTGCCCCATAAGGTTTCCAAGGAGTTGCTGGTGGATTTGAACTGCTGACCTTTTGGTTAGCAGCCAAGCTCTTAACCACTGTGCCACCAGCACAGTGATCCCCAAATATCAACCCCTCACAGGCTGACTGCGGGATTTTTGCCATCTCCTTCAACTATTTTACTCAATATTTATTTATAAATGGATTCACTTAACATTTACAGTCATGTAAAGGGGAAACTTTACATTACTACCATAGACGTAAAAACCACTACCACTAAAAACAAACGAACCCAAACCTGTGATTCGGACTCATAGCAACCGTATAGGACAGAGCAGAACTGCCCCCATAAGGTTTCCAAGGAGCGGCTGGTGGATTCAAACTGCTGACCTTTTGGTTAGCAGCCAAGTTCTTAACCACTGCACCACCAGGGCTCCATAAAATGAAATCATAAAACATTATATTCTAGCTGAAACTGTTGCCCCAGACAGCTCTGAACCTCAGGACTGCTCTCTGTTAAAATCGGGAGAGTAGTTTATTAGAGAGATGTTTAAAGATGTCTATTAGCACTTCCTAAGAGTTTCTCCTTGACCCAATCTTAAGTATTGAAAGACATGAAAGATGAATTTTCTCATCTTGTGTCTCGAAGTTATTTAATGCTTCGTATCCGTGCCAATTAAAATTATCACATAAAATATCAGCAGTCCTCATTCCCCATTTCAGGAGAGACTGACCTGGTAATTCCCAGGTCCCTCGAGGACCTTCAGTTTCAGGATCAAGGGCACCCACCTTGTCAATGAAGGCAGCAAACCTGCTGTTGAGGCCCTTGATCTGCTCCTTCTCCTCGTGCTTCACGCACTGCGCGTTGGGGTCGATCTGCAAGTTGAGGGGCGTGAGCAGGCTGTCGTTGACCGACACGGTGGTGATGCAGGGGGCGCTTAGCCCGCCCACGCCGCCAGAGCGGTAGCCAAAGCTGCGGCTGCTGAAGCCAGCGCGGAAGCCTCCGCAAACGCTGCGGCTGCCGAAGCCCCCGGTGAGGCCGCGGTAGCAGGAGACGCCGCGGTAGGGGGCGGCGGTGATGCAGCAGCGGCTGGGCCGGGGCCCGCAGGCCGAGGCGCAGCTGAAGGTGCGGACCCCGCAGGCAGCGCCAAGGCGGTTGGAGAGGCAGGTCATGGTGCGGCGGCGACTGGAGCGAAGGACTCGGGCGGCGTCGGAAGAGACAGGTGGCTGGACCCCAAGGTTTGGCTGCACCTTATATCTCCCCGCTTGAGGGAGCACGCGGCCTGCGCGTTTACGAGCTTGGAGGGCTCAGGCCTCGCCCCTTGCCGAGCCGGGAATCAAAGCGGACTGGCCGCTTGGCCGCCCACATAAAACGGCGTTCGCCTCTGGCCCGTGCTTTATGAGGCCGGGAAGCGCCTGGTCAGCTGAGCGCGCGCTGTGGGCTGAGGGCCCCGCGGGACCCCTACGCCCCTCTGGCGGGACTCTGCCCGGGAAGCCCAGGGAGGGCTGGGTCATTGCCTCCGTTCCTGAGCAGGGCAGCTGGGCAGGAAGCCTTGGCCTTCATTCATTACCTGTGCATTCTGCACGGTGTGGTGGGTGAGAGAGACAAGACTGTTGTGTATGTGTGCGCGCGTGCGCGTTTGTGTTGAGGAGGGGCCGCTATAGTCCTGTAGGTTCATGCCATGACCTTGGGCAGGTGAATAACCTTTCTGAGTCTCAGTTTCCTCATCTGCAGAATGAGGCTGGTAGTAGTACCCATTTGAGAACCGTTGGGAGGACCTAATGAGTTAATGGATTGGAAAGCATTTAGGGCCTTAGCTGGCACTTAATAAGAGCTTCATAATGCTTGTTTATTTATTTGTTCTATTTATTCCCCTATTATTAATTTGCCATCCATCTTGCGTCCCTTTAAACACTTTCTCTTCCCTTTTCTCTTTCTCAGGACTTAGCTCAGACTGCCTCTGCTAGTAAGTCTCCTTCCCATCCCCCAACGCTTTCTACACCCCTTTCCACTCCACTCTGCTTGTGGGACGAAGGGAGCTGCACTGTGGAGCCTACAATGTGCCTAGCACTGTGCTAAGAGCTGTATAATACATTATTTCATCTCACCCCCAGGACAACCCTCTGAGGAGGGTATCACTGTGCCCATTTCCCAGATTAGGAAAGTGAGCTCAGAGTGGTCTAGTGACTTACTTAAGGCCACGCAACAATGGAGGGGCAGAGTGAGAAACTGAATCAGAGCCCTCCTCCACACTGGACTCTCCCAGGTTCTGAATTTTGGGGGACTGAAAGAGGGCTGAGTTCTGAGGCAGGAGTACAAACTTCTGGGCTCCGGACTTTTGGAGAAATTGGCCTGATTCAAAGTCTCCCCTCAGCTGGATCTTGGCCACAGCCACCAGTTCTGGAATGCCACAGCCCATCATAAAGGAGGTTAATTATATGTCCAGTTACCAGAGAGGAAATCCAGAGTGTGTACTCAGCAGCTAGCATTAAAGACAGAGAAGCATGCAAATCACCCTTCCTTTGCTTTTAAATGTGCGTTATTATTGTACAAACGGCAATTAAGTCCTGGAACTCCAGAGATCTTCACAGTCAGCCCTGTCTCTGGCACCTTGTTTTTCAGGGAGTGCTGCACTGCTGCCTTAGCTACCTTTTCCAGACACTCATGGTCCTGAATCCCTTTGGTCCAGCCCAGGTCTGTTTTGTAACAGTTTAATCCCAACCTTAGTTCCATCCTCTATAGAAGTTGGAGCCCAACTCTGCAGTGTCTTTTGCTTTTACCCTCAGCTGGGATCTCTGACTGTGGCTAATGCTTGGCTTCAGGGTTGTGTATTTTTACTCCCATTTTTTTCTCCTGGGAATAGTAGGATTGGAGAAGTCTTCCTTCAGCACCTTCCCCACAAGAGGAAACGGACTTACCCTGAAGCATGAACTTTTTAAATTAGACTTTGGGAGGCACTTACACAGCGCATACTTGGATCTCTTTCTGGGTTTCGTGGGTAGATGGAGAGGACTTTCTGTGCCGTCACAAACAATGAGGGGGTTAATAATCAGCCTTCCTCCACACTGATAATTTAAAATCCAGAGAGACAGGAAAGATGCCTGCTAAGAACTCAACCTGAAAGGGAAAGTATCAAAAGGTTTGACCTCTAGATCATAGTGGTCCCCGAAACATTAGTGCTAATCCTTGACTCATCCCAGAGAAACATACTCCCTGGTGTCCTCTTTATTATTTTTGGAACTCACAGGAGAGAAATGAGCTGAAGAGTGACAGATTTCAGACACAACCAAGGACTCCTCCACAGAGAGGGTTGGTAGTCACAGGTACTAGGGAAGAGGAGGGCTCTCCATTCTTACGAGATCTTCTAGAAAGCATTCTCTTTTATATCCGAATACATTGATCTAGTAATGAAAAGTGAGTGCTGTGTCTCAGTTACTATGTCTCTTTTTTTTTTTTATTCAAGGTAGGGAGTAAACCTCTACTGAGCACCCATCAGGAACCAGGTGCAGAGTGTGAACAAGGAGACTGCATTCCCAGGCAGAGCAGGCACGGACACAGAGGACCTTAACACAAAGCTGCAGGGGGTCTGGCTCTACTGGAGAGGCACCAGGCCATGTGAGTTTGGGAGAATGAGTGTTCACTATGGGGACTGGAGTCCAGAGGTCAAGGCAGAGTCTTGAAGCAAATGACACCTTGGTTGGGCCTTGAAGAATGGTTAGCAGTGGGATATGCTGAGATGAGAGAGAGGAGGGGAATTCAGGTGGAGGGAACCACGTGAGCAAAGACACAAAGCAAGGAAGGCCAGAAGATATGAGGGAAACGTTGGGCAGTCCATTTTGGCAGAAAAATAGAGAATGGGGTAAGGATAGGGGAGAGGAGGCTAGTTGAGGCCAGACAGTAGATGGCTGGGTGGGCTTAGAATGTCAAGCTGAGCACAGGAGGTGTTTGACCTGGAGACAGCCAGGCCCTGAGGGGTGTGAAGCAATGTGAAAGGGGGTATATGGAGTCTCTAAGGGTGTGTGTATGTGTCTACCTCTGGTAACCTGAGGCATCCTTATGAAACACAACTTAAACATCAAGGTTCCCATTTCAGAAGTACATTTCTTTCTTCTCTGTGGTTACTGGTCGAAAGCACGGACTCTGGAATCAGACACATTTGGGTTCAAGCCTGGACTCTGCCATTTACAAGCTGGGTGACAAGTTACATAGCCTCTCTGTGCCTCAGTTTCCTTTGTACCTAGAATGAAGATAATAAAACATGCCCAGTCTCATGGACTGAATTGTGTCCCCCCAAAATATGTGTCAACTTAGCTAGGCCATGATTCCCAGTATTGTGTAGTTGTCCTCCATTTTGTGATGATGTAATTGTCCTATGTGTTGTAAATCCTAATCTCTGTCTGTGGTTAGTAAGGCAAGATTAGGTTATGTTAGAGGATTAGGTTATGTTTGTTATGTTTGTGTTATGTTAATGAGGCAGGATTAGGGTGGGATGCAACACCCTTATTCAAGTCACAGCCCTGATCTGATGTAAGGGGGGTTTCCCTGGGGTATGGCCTGCATCACCTTTTATCTTACAAGAGATAAAGAGAAGCAAGCAGATAGAGAGGAAACTCAATACCACCAAGAAAGATGAGATGGGAGCAGAGCATGTCTGTTGGACCCAAGCTCCCTGCGCTGAGAACCTCCCAGACCCAGAGGAAGATTGATGTGGACTTTCTCCCACAGCAGACAGAGAGAGAAAGCCTTCCCCTGAAGCTGACATCCTGAATTCAGACTTCTAGCCTACTAAACTGTGAGAGAATAAATTTCTGTTTGTTAAAGCCATCCGTGTGTGGTATTTCTGTTACAGCAGCACTAAATAACTAAGACATCCAAGGACATTGTAAGGATAAAATGAGGTATGTATGTAAAGCATTATCGCAATGCCTGGTGCATAATAAGTGGTCAATAAATGGTAGCTGCTATTATTATTATTATTTCCTCTCCATCACCCTGGTCACCACAAGTGCCTACCCTGATAACCATTACTGTGCCCCTGCCCTCTCTTCCAGGTCTTGGGGCTGTGGCTTCTTGCACATTGAAACTCTCCCAGCTGGGACCCTCCGTTCCACCCCTCAGTTCAGGCTTGGGTAGGTCATCCTCAGAGCTTCCCTGAGAAGCTCTCCTGAAGCGTGTCCCAGATAACAGGTGGAAGAGGCTGCATAGGCCTGGCTCACTATTACTTACTCCCCATTGCTAACCGACACATTGTCTCATGATCTTGTCTTTCCCTCTGGTTCCAACGTCTACAAAACGTTTAAGATTAACCTATGTCCTCCTTGGAGGGTGGAAAACAAGTGATAATGATCTGAGGATGAAAAACCGAACAAAGCACCCATCTTGTGACAAGAAAACCAGGATGTTGCCAGATAACCCCCAAGAATACCAGTAAAAGATTAATTCATCTGAGACATGACCACCTCAAGGGGGAACTAACACAAACTTCTAAGACCCATAATCCTGTCCCTATAAAAGCCTTCACCTGATCTCCAGTTGGGGAGACGGGTCTTTTGGAGGAATATATTCCCCTCTGCCTCCTATATATTGATATATAATAAATTTCTTGCTGCTCACCTCACCCGTCTCAGAATTGGCTATTGCGGCAGGTGGCTCCAACCCGTGTTATTGCGGTAACACAGGGAGCCCTTTGAAAGAGATCATCTGGAGAGTGTGGCCATGTGTTTATTGACTAATTGAGGGAGACTCTGTTGGAGGTGGGGTGAGAAATCTTACAGGCACATAGGAAGGGATGGAAGTGGGTAGGCAGGCTGGGGTTTTAGGGGTCCAGATATTTGGAACCCTCAAACCACACTGCCCACGCACACCTACCAACTTCATGGGTCCCATAGCATGAAGCAACTGAATAAAGAACTCTTTGGTTGTGTGTTTGACTTTTCTACATCCCCACATATATCTTGATAGGGGTAGACACAATCTCCTTCTGGTCATGCCAAGGGTTAAGTGCTACAGGTTGCCTTGAGAACTTGGCCCCTGTGGCCCTGCCTGGGGAGCCCATGGAGAGCTTTTCTTCTCAAAGCTGCCAGGGTCCACCTTCCAGACTAAGGATGGCCCATCCTTTGCCCCTGGTCTCAGCTTATCTTATGGCCCAAACTGAAATACTCTGATGTCATGAGTCCAGCTGACCACCTGGAAGGAAGCATCCCAACCCAGCCTCCCTTTCCCTCCTTAATGATCTCACAAAGTGCAGAGTCCACAAGGCCTTGGGCAGCTTCTGTTCCAGCCCTGGCCTTGGCTGGTGATTCCTCTGTGCACCCTCAGGTCCTCAGCTGTGGAAGAAATGCTGCTGGAGCTTCAGAGTTGCCTGAGTGTAGGGTTTTCCAAAACACCGTCTTGATGAAGTTCTCCCAGAAGAGAGGAGAAATGACTGTGAAATTCCCCACTAACTTCAGTGTCTCCCTCAGGGCCAGAGTTACTCACAGATAGTCACAGCATTGAAGCCTTCACAATGTTGTATGGCACTTGTCACCCAGCTTGTAAGTGGTGCAGGAGAGAAAAGGTTGGCATTAGGACTAGGCATTCATTCCTGACAGTGAGATGGTGGAAATAACTTCTTAGCACTGAGAGTGGAGAGACTCAGGGAGAAGTGATTCCCCTTATTTACAGCCATACTGTGATAAAGAGCGAGCTGACAGGTGTTGAGTGGAATAATTCCTCACTCAAGATCTGTCAATATCTATTTTTTTTCCCCATCGCAGGAAGCTCCTATTCTCTCTCTGGCCAAAGTGCACGTGTCCATGTTCAAGATGTCAAACACTTTTCTGGGTGAAAACAGTATTTCATCAGCTTGGCTGTCCCCAAAGGTCTTCCTGAAATCAGTTAAAAAAGAATTGGTTGAGAAGGAATTGAGGTTAAACCATAAGGTAGACTCCCTCATGGTATGGGTGAGAGTCCCTAGGACAGACCACAGGGAAGCTTATGTTGTCATTCCTAGATGGAGACAAGCAGGACTCATTCTCCTGTTGCTCTTGGCCTGCAAGAGGGAGTTCTGATTGGAGGTGAGGGATGTTTGGGACCAACTCCCCACCCCCACCAAGGTTTCTGACTTACCATATTATTGTCCCTGTGCAGGTGTGAGCAGCTCCTGGAGTGGAGTTGTATGTGAAGATCACTGGCACCTGTGGGATCAGCTCCTGCGGGGTGGAGTCTGTGGCAGTAACTGCACGAAGTGTTAAGCTGGCAGGACTTGAGGTTACACCCAAGCCGTCAGTCCTCTCACCCTTCCCGTAGATCCCAGCTGACCCTCTGCCCTATGGTGCCATGTGCAGCCTGGTGGCAGGGTGTAACTGCTTGAACTTACCCTGACACATCTTCCGTCTTCTCGCATTCTCATAGCGCGCTGTGTGGGAGTTCCCCTCTCTTGCTTCCCCTAGGC